CGTGAGGCTGCTATTAATAGAAGGAGGTGGCGGTCTGGGTGGGGGGGAGCGAGGCCTCTCGGTGCCATTCACGTCCTGTGCTCGCGGGCTCTGCCTTTTCAGGCTCCCGCTAACGTCCTGGCTGTGCACTTTTAAGAAGAGGGGATTAATGAAGCACAGAGCTCCGTTGGTCTGGCTGCACTCCAGCTCCGAGGGCGTTCGGGTTCGTATAGCATGCACGCCATTTATAAGGCAGAGCTGGCGCGCGTCTTTACAAGTGCTGTCTGCAGGCGCGGGCCGGCAGGCAGGCGAAGGATTTGGGGGGTTCCTGTTAGCTGGAGAGCTCCAAATATCTGAAAGTCATCATTGTATTAACGTAAGAATGCAAATAGTACGCAGATGGCGTTCAGAACCCTCGGCTCAGCGTAACCCCTTTGAAGCATTAAGGAATTTAGACAAGCTTTTATAATTCAAGCAAAAAAAAAAAAAAAAAAAAAAGATGAATAGCATTCCTAGGCATTCCCAGTGAGCTTCTTAAAGCACCATCAGACGTAACTGCGTGCTACACTCCTGAGGCTGCTCCTATTCGTTTATAAACATCATGGCCAATGCATAGCTGCAGATCAGCCCACGGAACTAAGCGGAAAAATGAGCTGAGAACCCAAGAAAGGAAGAGAGACTGGAATACAGCAATTCTTATTGATCTGAGGCTAAAATGGACATAAACTACTCACCAGCATATCAATCAGGAGAAATAAGGCTCTGCTTCTCAGCTGGTATTAATAAGCTCGCTCTACTAAAGCCAACAGAGTTAGGCTGATTTACACCAGCTGACAGCCACTTACGGCAACTTATTAAAATCAAAATTTTGAGGGGTTTGGTTTCTGTTTATAGTGAACAAATAAAACTATGCAGGAAAACTCAGCTCATGTTTTGCTGTGCTTGGAGCCCACACAATCTCCAGCTGTACTGATCAAACGCTCGTGCCTCTTTAAGAGCCCTGGCCTGCAGCCCGGTGTTTGCAATGGTTGCAGTTTGCCTGAGGTTTTAGACACTCAGCAGCACATAAATAGACTGAATGTGCAGTCCCATCAGCACAGTGCGGAAAATGTACGCTAAACCAGCAAATTTCCACTGCAGCCTCCTTGCTTGCCCCAGCAAAGCGTCAGTGTGAGCGCCCAAAACTGAGTCAACAGTAAAGCCCACTAGGTCCTGCGAGTCTGACGGCTGAAATTAAAACAAGCCCTCTCGGACAGCAGACAGACTGAAATAAGGGAGCAACACCAGAGGAAGACTTTGGTAAAATTTGCCAGTCTTGACATGGCCCTTTTTCCTACAGCGTCAAGATGCCTCTTTTTGGCTGCTGGGCAAAAATGAGCCTTCTGAAGCCCAAGACGTGACTTTCACATACTGAGCTAGCTCTACAACAGGGGCAGGAAACCGAGTACAGCCCAAGGCGATAGACTACTTTCAAGGAATATACCTGGGAACACATGCAGGGAGTATACCAGAGACTATACGTAGGGAGAGGCGCAGTGCAAGGTCATGCAATGCTGCTGTTTTTTTTAGCTGCTCCATGACCCTGCTTGCAGATCCCTCAGCAAGCTGGCCAGTGTGCTTGGCATGTGGGCTGCTGCAAACATGCATGAGATAAGCACCACAGCAGGTGAAACATGAGAAGAGAGACTAAAAAAGGGTTGGCAAAAGTCTTGAAACCTTTACCACCAGTTCTTCCTGGTGCAGTTTGCTGGGCTACATGCTGTTGACCTGCATTGTGTACTAGTTCCTCTGAGCCTAAAGCACAAGAGAGCTCTGGCAGGAGCTATGGTCCTTAGCATTCAGATCAGGCTGTTTTGTGCCTGTGTGCTACTTAAGAAAAGCTTAATAGGAAGGCCCCCTTGAGAATTTTTAGGCATCTCTTGGGTCAACAGCATTGAAGGCCTGGCTTCCCGGTGCGCTCTTTTGTACGTAGTTACCTAGATCTCCATCAAATTCCCAACTTGGCTGCCCATTTTTTGCCCACAGAAACTGTGATCTTAATCTGGCATACAGTAGGCAATTGATCGCAAATAGACCAACTACAAAGTTATACAGTGATCACTCCTTTCAGTGATCCTTACAGTGATCATCAGTCTCCTTTCAGCTTGCAAATGCATTAGCTTAAAACAAAGAAATAAAACAAAAGCTGCACACACAGAGATGGTTCAAGAACAAGCCTACAGCAAGTCAGCCATGGTGCTCTCAGGTACAGAGGACAAAAGATAGCATGATTACTCTGGAGAGCTTGCTTGACACTGCCATTATTATCTCCTATGGAGACACTTGCCTAAGAGTCTCTAGTTTTCTAGAGGAGGCTGTCTTCATTACAATGCCTCCCAATTTGCCTGCATTCCCATGAAAATCCATGCTTTCATTTAATTACCAACCTTGCAGATTAGCAACACAGAAGACATCTGTCTTCTCTTTAAAGTGAATTCCTGATTGTCAGAGCTAGGGCAGCAAAACAAAACGCAAAGCAATACCATACTTCACCGTGTATGACTTTGCTGCAAAATCTCACCCAACAGTTCTAGAGAGCCTTGTGCTAAGAATCTTATTTAATGAAGAACCATTTCTAAATTGAAGATGATTCAAAAATCTGCTGGGACAAAGACTTCCCTCAGTCAGCCCTCTCTTCCTCCAAGGGGAAATAAGGCCATTCAGCACTTTGCAAGAGTTGCTCAACAATTCATCTTGGTCAAGCCCATGTTTCAAATCCTGCCAGGCTTTGCATCTGCTGCAAACTCAAAATACATGTTGCAATGAGACCGTAATTGGTTGTAGCAGTCAAGCTATGCATCTTTCAAGGACATGTCCTAGCATTTTGTTTTTTTATTTAGAAGCTCTCACCAAACTGAAGTGCACAGACACATTCTACAGATGCTATGCACACACCCCTTCTTGCACCACTGAACTACCACACTAAGCCACTGACGTCAAAATTGCCTTTCCAAGGTAAATAATCACATGTCAATCTGAACAGACGGTTCTGATAACAGTGCACTACAGTTCCTACACCCTCCTGGCAGCTACAGCAAATTATCAAGCTAAAGGCTGCAGCGTGAGACCACAGCCAATGTTCCAGCGTGGAGGACAAGCTACCTCAGACCTCTGCCTGGCAACTGCAAGTCTTGCTTTGCATCAGTCCAGGGGCTGCACAGAGAGGAGAGAGAAGGAAGGAAGGAAACAACACTAATAGAGTCAAGAATATCACACAAGGCACATAAGGATGGAAGAGTACGAGGCTTTGGCCTTCCCAGTAGGAGAAGCTGCTTTTCCAAAAGCTATCTGGATCATCACGGATCAAAATGAACTATTTACTGATACAGACTATTTCTTCAAGCTTATAGCAATGTTACAGGGAAGGAGAGCTAAGCAGATAGCTACTTACTCAGTCCAAGCTGAGCAATCTCTTCAAGTTCAGCTTCTGTCTTTGCTGCTGCAATAGCATGAGGCAACTTAAGGGTGAACGGCAAGACATCTCTGTTTGCAGAACAGAAAAAGAAATGATGATTTTCACAACAACAGCCCCAGTTTTAGAAGTATTTGTTTCCAACACAGGCATTAGTTGAGCTCAGGTTCTTACTCTCTTTTTGAGCTACGGCAGCTAGCAAGAGTCTTAAACATACAGCATGCAGCGTAGGCAGGACCAACCCCAAGGCTCCTTTACATTGGAAAGCAGCGTGAAGGGCAAATGAGAGTCAAGCCCCCAGGACTCTCTCTTTGAGCTCATTTCTACATCCCCACCTTATTTTCCTCCCATTACAGCAGAAGCTTTAACATCTGGTCTTTTAAGAGCAAGCTGGTGTGATGTAAAAGCTTTATCTGCCCTTAACCCTTTAACTAAGCTTCAGGTTTTCCAAAGACATCGTTGAGTGCTCTCAAAACTGAATGAATTATCTCAGAATAAAAATCTAAATGAGTACTTAGGTGGCTAGTTTAAAAAAAATGCCTAAGCCAGGATGTATTGGTGCACCGGAACAGGCTGCCCAGAGAGGTTATGGAGTCTCCACCCTTAGAGAGATTTCAAAAGCCGTCTGGACGTGATCCTGGGCAGCCTGCTCCAGGTGACCCTGCTTGAGCAGGGTAGTTGGACTAGATAATGTTTACAAGCCCCCTGAACCTCAGCCATTCTGTGATAGCCTGTCCTAGGCTGAAAACACATTTCATTTAAGAAAGTCTTCATAATTTATCCCCATATCTAGTTTTGCATACCAGAAATATATGAACACTAGAGGGTCAATGGATGTTTACAGAGGCAGATGCACGAATACTTATAACATAAGCCAAAGCTAATGTAAAAGGCTTTTGGACAGAGATTTTGAGACAAAACTACTTAGCCTTACGTACACTGCGTCAGTACTACCATCAGCAGATACTATACCTCATGCCCATCTAGTTGGTACCAATACATCCTCAAGCTATAGTGCACGCTAAGCTGTAAAATCTGTAATAGAAGTACCTACGTAATTAGAGTAAATCAGAGCAAATGCAGCACAGATATCCTACATACAACTGGTGTCAAGATCATTTTTTTTAAAAACTGCAAACAAGCCAACCATCTATTGCAGCAGACAGACACGGTTTTAAAACACTGAAATATCACCAAGCCGTATGTTAACTTGTTGAAAAATCAGGATATCGGAACTCCAAGCAAATTCAATCTAACACACGCACAAGACTGACATGCTAACTAGAAAGCATGTGAAAAGACATTTTCAGCAACATACCATGTAAAATCCAGTCCAATTCATATCAGTGCAGAGCATCTAACTAAATACAAAGAGAGGAAACCCTTGACTCCTCAAACAAACTAATGTGGTACCTACAGCAAGAAATTCCCAGGAGGGAATTTTAGGAAACCCTCCTGGCTTTGCTGTGACATGCTGAACGGTACACCCTCCATCACAACCGCTGCCCACCTGCTTTCCCAAGAAGTCTGCATGTTTCTCCCCCGCACGCCCAGCAATCCTTGACCACTGGCAAGGAGGACAAGGAAGCTGGGTAGGTGCTGCCACTTAAGAAACATTAGGCAAATAGAAGCACTTAAGATATTTCCACACTGAATGGGGAACTAAGCGTCAGCTTCTAAGAACATGCCACAAATCAAAGGCGAGCTTTATTTACTGATACCTCTCTGGACAGGTTTGCAGCTGAAGTTGTATTTAAGAACAAGCAGGATAAACACTAGGAAATCTTTATTTCCGTTGTCTAAGTGGGGATCGCTACTCTGTTCTTACTTCCCTTCTCATCCCCAAAGGGCAATGAGGAAAGCAACAGAACACAGGGGTGAAGAGCCTGTGCACGCAGGCTTGCATGCGCTCCTTAGGCATCCTGAACGAGAGGCCAGACTGCATCAAGACACACATTTTAAATTCACACGTGGCTGACCGAAATACCATGAACAAAATTAAAGCCACTTTGCGAGAGAGAATCAAGTATGAGACACAGGAGCAAGGCAACAAACTACTGCATGTTTGCGGGCTTACCCTTAGCCCAGGCAAATCCAAAGCAACTTTGCGTCTACAGTAAAAAAGGGATAAACTCATGCAAATAACTTCACATTTGCTGCAAACTCCCTGTATGCACTGACAGAGTTACCAGAGCTTGGCTATGGCCAATGAGAACAGAAAGGGTGACAACATAAAGAACCTCTCATCACTAAACTGCTTTTAAATGCAGTTCAGCTCATTTCCCCTTCGAGGGCTGACCAACTACTACTACGATATAAACGCTTCTTTCATCACGCGCATGTACAGCTTGGCACAGAGGAGGCTTGTAGCAAAGGGGTTCTAGCTGCTTCTCCATCACAAAAAAAACCAATAAGCCCCATGATCCCAGTGCATCCTCAGCCAGCAAGCATTTCTCACATCAGTATTCACCACTGGCAGCACTAACTGGCAATCATGTTGCAGTAAAAGGCCGAGGCTTCAAAATGCCCCTCCTCACCCCTCAGAAAATGGACCTAGATGTGCAGTTTGGCTGTGTCCCACCTGTAGTGGACAAGTGGATAAATGTAGGACTTGAGCATCCATCTGAGATTTTTCACTAGTGAACTAAAGTCAAATCAAAACCAACTTAAAAGACAAAACATCAGGCATTTTTTCTCCACATACTACCTGAAAATCAAGTCAGGTAATCATAAACTGGAAAGCTGATGAAACCATTTTTGCCGTTTGCGGTTTACAAACCTCTCAGTTGTCATGGTCTCCAATGCAATCTGACCTTTATCCAGTACACTCCAAAAACGTGTTTTACTAGCAACTCCAAGAAATGGCTGTTGCAAGATGGCTGAGAGCTTACGGTGCTTGTTAAAGGAGTTATAGAGCAGATGAGACAAGATATCAGCCCAAGTCAAGTTGAACTTGACAACACCTCACAGTTGGGTGGACAACATAAAACCATCCTTTCAGCAATCAGCAGCATATACAACAGATCCTTACTTCCAGTTCTCATCTGTTATTTAGCCCATTACCTTCTACGACTGCCCAGGAATATTTACAGATTAGTAATATCTTTAATCATGCTGAGCCAGGAAAGTTCTTGAGACTCTCTTTTTATCCAGGATAGTATAGCAAACGAAACCCAGAACATCACACCACCTTACCTGCTAATACAGTAGAAAGCAATGAGCCTGAATAAATCAGCAAAACTTATTCCAGACCCCTCCAAGGAAAAGGCTGTGAAGAAAGTCGCAAGAGTGAAAGAGTCACACATCTATCCACTGTTTCTTAGAAAAGCTTAATAAAAAAGCTTAGATGTTTTTCAGAAAATTAGCTACATGTTTGCATCAAGCTAGCCACCATTTGGTTAATCTGAAACAACTGTGTGGAGGAGCACGTGTCTCCTCTAAAGGCGTTGTAAAGACTGTCCTGATAGTCTTGGTCGTGGGCTTGTTTTTGCATTCCAAACATATACTCTAATTCTTGGGAAAAAGATCAAATAGGATTAGAACTACATAACATTTTATTAATGGATAAACCAACACTGAGGCTTTGTTTTACCTAGTGAACTACTACAGCTAATTTTAAATCTTTATTTCCTCCTCTTGCAGTCCTTCCTACTCATTTGTCTTCTCCCCAGCTGTGTTAGCATATAAAGGCAAATAACGAATGTTAGTTCACTTGTCCCATTTAAGAAAACCCAGACAATTCTGCTTCACAGCATTGTCTTGTGCTGAGTTTCAATCTTTTTTTTTCCCCCCCCTAATAAAATTATATCAAAACTCTTCTAGAGAGCACCCTAAATGTTACTCTGAAATTAAAAAGAGCGCAAACATTTTTTTTGCTCCATATCAGCGTTCCTTACCGTTATAAATGCTTTTCCACCGTGACAGTGATCTATAAGAGGTTGCCACTTCACTGACATTAAGCTCTCTCCTTTGCCAGTGAGAAGTCTCACCCAGCAGCTACAGAAATCAAGCAGGGGAAGGTGCTAGAGCGACACCATCTAGGTCTTTCAGCTCATGACCGAGACCAGAATAACAGAAGGGAGAGCATTCATACAATACAACAGCAGTGTTAGAACACCTATTCTGTGTAGCCTGAGATGACTTCTGCAAAGGGGGAATAGTGAAGTCTCATTGCTTCCGACCACCTCTGAGCAGCTAGAGCCCTTGGGTGGACCTTCACTGCCTGTTCGCATACTGTCACTGAAGGACAGGCCAAGCTGGTCATTTGCGTGCCTAGAAAAAGACGATTTCTTCAAAAGACATACTAATAATGCACGTAGTAAACAGATGGGTGATCTTGCGGTGCGGTTAAGATAAGATGTGTGCCCAGATCCCAGATTTCAATGAAAACCTCAACCATAACTGGTGAGTAAAACCATCAGTAGACACTTCCCCCTTGTGGTAAAATTTTATGCATGAAAGACAATGTAATATTATTTTCTTTTCTAAAGGGGAGAGAGGGAATTCGTTAGCGTAACAAGCCTGAGGACACAGCTTTAGATCACACAGATTGAATACTAAAAAAGTTGATAGTCTTCTCTTCTATTTGCCTTGTTTCTAACTGAAACCAAAATTAGACGCACAGAATTAACTTTATGCTACAGCTGAAGTTAACTCAGGTCAGTAATAGAAAGATAGAATTTAACTACAGAGCCTCCAGCTCCAGAGCCATTTAACTGCAGTTGCTGCTAATTTTATCTCCAGTTTTCACTGTCTTGTTAAAATAAGCCCCTTTGCTTTGTTCATAGTTTTTGTACCACATACACTCACCAGCTGCAGCTTCCTTTTCTCATTCATCTCAAAAGCATTTCTCACCTCCTCTCTCTGAAGAGATGAGTAGAGTATTGTTTCAAAACTTACGGGAGCTCTACCTTTTGTTAATGTCTCCAAAAGCGGGTAACTACTCATACTAAGCAATGCCTCTCCAATTCAGCAAGGTACAAAAACCTATAAATACTCCAGTGTCCCCCTGCACAGGCTTATGTATTTCTGCATATCTTCCCTCTCCAGGACAGGCCTGACCCACTCTTAGATTTGCCTAAACAACCCTTCACGCCTTGAGCGGAGATCACCGTAGGCAGTTTGTGATACTGTTTCCATCACTTTGGACGATTTTCTGCTGCAGGTTTCACCAGTGCAAAGCATCTGGCTCATACAGGGTGACCACTATCTGAAAAGTCTGTAATTCATTAACTTACTGTATGTGCTTTCTTTTATTGCAAATTCTTTCAGGCAGGACCCACATTCACTGGGCAGACGCAGAGATATGACCTTTTTCTGCAGTCTTGCTGATTTCCTAACCAGAAATATCTGTTGCGGAGAAGGGAAAAGGATAAACTTTGAGCTTCATTAAAGATGCCTTAAAAAGAGACAGAGATATTAAAGATGAAAGGAAATGTAACAGCCCCACGATCTCTGGTTTTCTATATGAAACATCTCAGAATTTCACTCATTCAACAACTTAATGCAAAATAGCATCAGAACATTTAGAAAAACATCTTATCTTCATATAAAGCAGGTACATGACACGGAGTCCATCATGTCCATCTCTGACCTCTCCAGTTTAACCCACAGCAAATCCCAGCTCCGGCTCAGGCCGTGGAGTCTGGGGAAGCTGGATGTGGGAGAGCTCCCTAGCCCAGCAGCCCATTCCTGCCATTTCCCTATGCCAGGAGGGAGGCAGGCAGGAGGGTGCAGAAACAGCCACCAGCCTTACCTGAGCAGATAGCACCTGGTTTTCATCTTAGCAACTTCAGTGCAAGCACTGGTGAAGGAGAAAATTTGGTCAAGTTTCCTATTTAGCAATTCTCTCTCCGTATAAGGCAAATGCATCTGTTAAGAGTCCTGCTTAGCAAGGTCCTGCTCTGGAGCTCCAAATGCAGCAGTCTAGTTCTTAGCTCCAGCAGACCCCAAACTAGTCTTCTCTTGGATTAGAGAAAGCACACAAGAAATAGTTTTTCCAACAAATAGCTGCATCAAATGAACGGAAATGTGACTTCTCACCCCGGGCGGCTGGGTCTGCAGAATCTCCATGGCTTCAGCGTTGTTCAGACCAAGCTGCAGCCACACAGGGTGAGTATGGAGAAGCTTGTCCAATATGCTTAGCTTGTTGGACAGGCTGTCATATCCAGAGTCTCGGGGGCAGCCTTTTACATCTTTCTTCTCAGGAGAGACATTATCCATGTCCTTTACTAGGCTGTGAGGAAAAAAGAAATTAGACATGCAAGTTGGACATAAGGAATCACTTAATTCAGTAAACAGAATTATCACAAGGCTAGTGGCACCACTGGCACCCTGGACTGGTGTTTCTTCTACTGAGAATTTGCATCGTTAGTATAGACAAAATTTCTCTTATCTGTACGGTTTCTTTTCTTCAGTTGTCCTCAGTTTGACAGCTAGTGTTAAGACAGGCCTTAGCATTCTGCCATTAGCTTGCTGAAATTCAAAAGTCACCTCAAACAAATACACATGTACAGGCATGTATGAATTGATTAAACGCTTAATCCCGATTCCTTGTTATGTTCGCATTTGCAGAGATTCACCTTCAGAGACTAATACTCATGCAATTCAGATATTTTTATTCCTAGTGAGACTGCAAAAGCTGCAACACCCAGAAACCTCCCTCTGTCTTGCCTGCCGGAAAACCTGTTCAGTATTCCGACAACGGAGCACTGCACTATTTATCAGCCATCACAGCACCAAACATGATTTGCTTTTCTCTCTGCCTGCAGGGACTTTTTTCCACAAAGGAAGCCTGGTCAAAATAGCCTCACTTCAGCTCATCCTGAACCTGACTACCCTCTCTGCTCCAACAGCGCTGCCGGCTTCTCAGTTGCTTATCCATCTGCAGCCTCCTCCACTGATGTGTGGTCAGAGATCTTGTCGAGGAGGGGAAGAAAAAAAAAAAGGCAGAGGAAAAAGAAGAAAATGAACCACAGATAACCCTCCCTAAGGCACATCTTCACTAAGAAATCATCCACAGTGGTAGTAATTTTGCAGGGTCTGCGCTCTAAAAAGAGTCCTCGGCATATTGACATTTTTGCCCAGAAAGGTCCTTACCTCACATGTTAGCACTACAAATCTGTCACGATCAGAAAGAGGAATTATATATTTGTGCTCCTACTTCCTTTGGTTCTGGATCAACTCCCGTGTAAGAAATGAAGGCAAAAGCTAGACTAAGCATGAATTTGGCACACTAATGTAAGCTCAAAATATATTTAAGGGCAGGACAGTTAATAAAGTTACTGCTAAATTCAGTAACTTAGAACAGTCCTTGGAGGCTACGGATACCTGATGGGTATTAAAAATCCAAAGAAACAGGCCACTCAGGGAGTTGCTCTGGTTACGCAAAGCCTCCCCATCGCTCGCACCCTGTAGCACGACCGCATGCGAGCCTTCTGGCTCGAGTGCCGCTGCGCTGCGCTAAAGGTACGTTCTGGGATCCCGCAAAACAGTCAACTCTGGTAACTGCTCTCCTGATGCCAATATTAGAAAAAACCTCTAACGGCAGGGCAGCCTCGACTATGATGCAAGTCTGCCCTGAGCGGCCGCGGGGGAACGCAGCTGCGTCACCCTGCTGCAAACTGCCCCACAGCTATTGGGGATTCAGGGCTTTTGGCAGGCAGTAAGTGGCATTAACAGCACCTACCACCTTCATTAGGCCAGCTACTGTAGCAAGGGTGGTAGCAGCTTTACAAGCGCAGGCAGGAGCACTGAGTAAAAAAAGAAAAAAAAAGAAAGACCCCCCCCCCCACACACACTTCTTTCTAGCTCTGGTCAGCATCTTGCAGCATCTACGGGCAGGGGTGGAAAAGGAAGTCAATGGGTGCGTATGCGCGTGGCGGGGAGGAGGCCACTCACTCTTCTCCTGCATGGTCAGGGGAAAACTGGTGCACTCGGGCAAACTTTTCATTACCTGCACCAGCTACCACTGCCAGGTCACCTGCTGGCCCCTTCCTTCCTTTTGCTCTCCTTCACCTTTTGCTTTTTTCATGCTGCACTGCCTTGGAGACTTGCAAGGCACCTAAACCGCAGATGATCCTCCCCCAGGGTCAAAAGCTATTAATAGTATGCCTTCGCCGGACACGAAGTACACGGACACACACTGTGCAGGAGGGAAGCAGTATTACGGAAGTTGTAACAGGGCTCTGAAAACTACCTGAATAGGAATTTGAGGTTCCCCTTTCAGCCCTGGTCTCAGCAAAACCTGGTGTTGTATGACGCAAAACATCCAGCCCAAAACCCGGGGCAAAATGAGAGTTATACACTGATGCTGGCTGCAGGCTCAGCTAGGTAAGAACTATTTCCATTCCTTGGTCAAAAGGTAGAGACAGAACATAATGCAGAGGAAATATGTTTGAGAGGGAGCAAATTTTGCCCACAAAAGAAAATTATGTTTTACGCAAAAGAAAAAACATGACCGGTATCAGCTATCAGGCTACGCACTGCTCGTTCCCGTGAAACCACCTAAAATTAGTAAAAGTTTGTGCACTCACCTAAGTCAGGGCATTCCTCTTCTCTGCTAGTGCTTTAACGTTGCCCACTTTGCAAAGCAAACACATCCAAAATGTTACTAGTGAGAAGATGAGTTTGAAAAGGAGCTGTCAAAGGTCCCAGTGAGATGGCTTGGCACTGGGAACTCTTTGGGACTGGGATTTACACGTTACTTCTTTGCAACCAAGCATAGGGAAAGAACAACCATGTGAATTCCACATGAATAGCAGATTAATTCAAGTGCACAGAATAAAATGCTGCACTAGCAAACACGCACTAGCCAAACATGCTGTGTCTTATGTAACAACCTAATTCTTCTCCTGTTTTCTTTATGGGAACTCCCAGTAAAAGACAAACTGACTAGGTCACATAAAATCAAACCCCAAATCCATCTGCATGGATGCTCTGCTTAAATGCAGAGGTACTACACCAGTCCCTCCTAATGATTTATACTCTCCTGGGGATTTCATCACTATTCATAGTGGATTAATGAAAATATGTGATTCATGCAAGTTTCCTTAGATTTAAGAAAACCCACAAGCATGTGGGAAGTAAACAAAGACAACAGCTGGGATAAACAGTGCTGCTACATCCTGATTGCACTTAGCTCACATTAAAATGGACAAAGAACAGGTTGAAGCCTGTAATTCCGGATGATCATCTCCCTTACATCTACGGGGCTGTAACGTACACCTCAGTCACATCCATGCAAAGCAAATGCTCTTGTCCTCCCCCTTGCACCAGCTCTAGGTGACTTTTTCTTTCAGTCTGTCAAACCTTATCTGTATCTCTTGCTCTAACCTTGTAACCTCAACTTCCAGCCTTTCTTCCCTTTTTTGTAGGGTTTGGGATAATTTAGTTCATCTGCTCTCTGACCCTGCCAGACCTCCCACATGGACAGGCACTGGCCTGGGGAGAGGATTTCTCTCTCTTTGGGAGTGCTAACCTAGTGAAATTGCATCCTGCTAGGATGATCGATGTTGCTCCATGGGTTTGCTGCATTGCCCTTTAACTAAGCTGCTCCAGGACTGTACCCTCCACTGGAAACAGTGGAAGAATTAACCTGTCCTTGTGAGGGCACGAGACAAGTTGGAGGAAGGACCTGGAGGACCTTGGAGGGATTGAGTCTGCGCTCGCGCGATGGAGAAAGCTGCTTATCAGCCCAGCAGCCACCCCAGTTTTAGCATCTCATTCCAGATGAACAGACTAGTCGGGAAGAGAGGGTTTTTGCACAGCCAGGAGGGATGTTGTTAGGGGAAACATCAGTGAGCGATCAGATTAATATTGTAAAGACAATAAGGACTGGCTTGTACTTGGATGTGTCCATACCTCCTCACTCCATTTGTTTACCGGGATTGGTCTGTTTTTAGGACGCTCGCACACTAGGATCTCATTACCCAAGCAGGAAGGGGGAGGCAGAGGTCCCTTCTTTGTCCTGGCAGTAGGATGCTCAGCTTCTCCCCAGCAGGTGCAACTTAACAAGCCTTGCTGCCATCTCTTCGCTAGGGTGGAGAGGTTTGCACAGCACAGCTTTGCATTCAGATACATTATTCTCCCACTGTTTACCCCACTGTTCCTCAGCAGCAAGGAATATTCCTCCCATTTGTTTCCTGCCCAGGACACAAGGGCGAGGAAATAAAGTGCATCTTCCCAAAGTTGCAAAGAGAGGAGCGTGAGCCTTGCTGCAGTCCTGCCAAAGGCTGCCCACAGCTAACACAGTTAAAGCGAGTTCCTGGCTGTTTGACTGACTCCTCACTGCAAGAGCGTCTGGATTTCTGTAAATCCTGCAAACTAGCAGGCTTTAAGTGCACCAGCCTAGCCTGTACAGTCATATCGAGCATCAGCTGCCAGAGGGAGCAAGGCATCAAGGATTACCTCCACTCCTCAGCAGCTGCACTGTCACACTTGCCTCCATCCCCTTGCAGCTGAAGGGAGAGGATCAGGCTGCAGGGGAGAAGGTTAAATAACTTTGACAATACCAGAAGTAATCCACCACGCAAGACACAGATGAAAACTCTATTTAAGTTAATTATTAACGTGGAAAAAATGTAAAAGGCACATAGGCATAAGGGCTGCCCAGCATAAAGTATAAAGGATACAGGGCAAAGTTCTGCCCTTATTTTTGCCATGACGACAGAGCAGGAAGGGAGCAAGCTGCAGCAGCTGCTACCACCCAGCAAATCATCCCCCAACCATTGCGTAGGCACAAAAAACTGCAGGAAGACGGGGGCCACCAGGGCAGTGCAGACAAGAAATGCATTCTAGTTATGCCTTTTCCTGACAACTTCACTCATTTGCGTTAACGAGATACGTTTCTGCACTGGGAGCAAGGTCCAGGCATTAAACAACATGGAATACTGGAACCGAAGACCTGCATGTCACATTCTGAACACAATTTGTCAGCCCCCCCTCCCCCTTTTTTTTGGATGGCATTTACATGCTTACAAGCAATATATGTGGGCCCTGTTACTTGAATCATGCTCCATATCACTGGGGTGTAAAAAGGGTGGAATCTCCAACATATAGTCCAGGAGTATAAACCTGGAAGTCATCACACAACCACAAAAATTCACTCAAGTTGCAGACATGCAACTTCATGTACTTTTTTTCCCATGTACTTATTTTTCTGAATACAGTTAAGGCCTCTTGCAAACACTGCCTTTGCAAAAGGCAACTTTCAGCTCAGATTTCTCTAGATTCAAATCCAAATGCCGTATCAAGATACTTATTTCTGAACAAGAAAATGTACAATAACAAAAGCAACCTACATTAATTACAAAGTTTTAAAACAACTTCAGAGGTATAAATAGTCATAATAGGAAACACATCCTTTATGGTAGTCTAGTTCAAATGAGCAACCTGGAAAACCTTAGCTGAAATGACTGAAACGGTGCCTGGTAATTCTAAATAACTAAAATGTATTAGTGTACAACTAATTATATAATCTACACTAACTTTGATACAACCTTTACCTACACAGAAGCATAAACTTTAGATGTATGTAGTCATATAAAATTCACTTCAATTCCTTTATTCAGATGTTTTACATTTATCATCTTCAAAAGGAGAAAAAAAGGATGAATTTCTGGGTTTTATTGGATGGCTAGTTTTAGTGTCAAGTTCTATTTCAATGCACATCAGAATTCAATACAGAAATAGAAATCCACTTTTTTAGGTCAGTTTTGTTTGCATATTTTAATCAAAACATACTTTGCACTCAGAACTGAGTCAGTTAACCAAAAAAATCCCATTTATTTGTAAAGTGAGAGATTTTAAATGACTGTTTCCAGCTAAGCGTTTCCACCAAGATTTTAGGACTGGTAGATCTCAGGCTTCCATGCTTACGTTGCATTCAAAAGTAAGGAGAAGCCTTTTCTCAACTGATAATTAGCTAAGATCCCTGAAATTAATTAGCTGAACCCTTTAAAATGGAGAATGTATCCTTTCTGCCCCGGAAAGAACTGTGCTGTCAAAAGCTTTAGCACTTGAACAACACGCGACCCAAAGCTTCACCAAGCGCTAATTAGTTCCCTTGTCTCACGTTCTTTACCACTTGGGCAACAAAGGTGTTGGTCAATGTTTTAATTAATGGAAATAATTAAAAGAAATTGCAGTAAGATTTAGCACACTTCAAAAGTATTTACAGAGAGAGAACAAATAAGCTAAAAAACATGGACATAATCTGAATAACTAACTGTTATCCACTTCATTAATTCACTGCCTTGTAAAACACAGTCCACTAGCAATAAAACTGGCCCACTAAGTGGAGTCAGATGAAACCTAATGTTTGCACTGGTGACTTTCCTCTTGCAACAAATATTTCACCATTAAGGAGAGAACACATTTTTGTCCCTAATACCGTGCTTAAAATATCAGATATCCTCTGGATGTCAATTTGTCACACAGCCACTCGACAATCAAGCCTCACAGTCAAAACGCCAGGGTCCCACTACTCCCAGTTACAGCAACAGGCTTGGACTACAAGTTTCAACAGTCCTTACCTGCATGGCATGATCTCTTAAAACACCAGAAGTTTATCTGTACTATAATATATCTCAAATCATCTTAAGGTTAACAAAATGCATCCATCTGCTAATTTTTACATGCAAGATACTCACATATAAACCAACTTAAACACACACCCCATAAGTATTCCTATGATACAGGTGGACTCATATCAGGGTTTTTCTTACTAACCTGAGAACATAAATAAATCATGTTACTGGGTGAAAGCTATCTTGAATCTTCACCAAGCAACTCGGAGCAACGGACATTTTTAGCCTTTTCAATGTGAAAGCTGAACTCACTGCCATAGACACTGGGAACAACATTAGGAGTTTCCTCCTTTAGACACTCATCCGTGTCCTAGGCTTGCAACAAGGAAGTAGAAGTGAAGTTCAGTTGCCTTTAGAA